GAGGGGGAGGAGGTGGTGGAGGTGGAGAACGCAGGCGTACCGACCGGACCGATAACACCGCTCACCGGAAGAACATCCGTCAGGATCCCGCGGACTTTGGCGATAAAACGAACGACGTTTAAAGCGAAAGGGCCGTCGCCGTCGCTAACGAGGGACGATAACATTCGAAATTTATCTAACGAACGAGACATGAGATACGCGCGGACGATTTGCGCGTCTCCCGCGGGATATGGCGGTGCCCGGGAAAACGGGAATCCCGTCGGGCAGCGTCGTAATTTCTTTTGCCTGTCTTTTTAATAAAACTGGGCTCTCGCGAAAGACTCGTATCTCGCGAGCAGAAGAGAGGGAGAGGGAGAGGGGGGGAAGAAAAAGAGGAGCAGCATCAATTGCTCGCGCTATTTCTCCTCCTCGATATCAGGCGGTCCGCGTTGGTGTCTATCATTAATAACCGTCGTCTTCTTCCACCCGACTCGACATATCGCCCTCTCATGATTTTATAGTCTCTTTAACGCGCGAAGACAATGGATGTTCAACAGTATTCACGACGTACGATAGCGTGTCGTCGTGGCAGACTAGAGGCACTCACTTTTTATCTCTGCTATTCCTCCAAGGGATCCTTTCCGTTAACGCTGCTATTGAATAAACTTCTATCTCTTTTTCTCTCTCTCTCTCTCTATCGCTCCTTTCTATGCTCGTCACTTCGTAAAATGAAGAATACTGTAAGTAAGCGCGCCCTTTGACCGCCGATAATGACGTTCTTTCGGACGTCACACGACACGTAGCCCCGAAACGCTCTCTTCTCTAATTTACTTTCAACGTGTCGCTATCGCAACGATCTTATATAAGCAGCCTAATGTGCGGAACGTCCGCTCTAAATTACGTGACACCGAGAATTTAACACCGTCTCTTCTATATCGCACGCATCACAGGCACGCTCTTTTTCGTTTTGCTTCGACGATGTCAGCAGTAGAAAAAAATAAAGCCGACGACGATAAGATCTATTGCCTTTATCTCACGCGTCGCATAGCTCAAGGCAAAGTGATATTTTGCAGTAAAAGGAAGGTATACAGAGAATAGATCGGATTTTATCTGATTAAAATCGATTTGCAACGTCACTCATCATCTATGATCAACGTAGTATCCAATTTGATTTTGCACAGGAAATTGTTTTACTGGCAAATTACTGGCAAAATAAAAATTTAGCCAGATTTTTAAAAAATAGCCAGCTACATATCTAAAAATAATTTTATTGGGACTTCAAAATTATATACAACGTTTAAATTGGTTGCTAGATTAAAAATTTTTACAGTATTATTATCACGCTTAAGCGTCCTACATAATAATTTTGGTGGTCCAACAAATCAAATTTTCAGTATCCGGTCAAATTTTTAGATTTGCCAGCAAAACTGTTCTCTCCGTGTGATTCTATTCTAAAGTTAACAAAGTACAATTGGATGTCCATGGAGAAAAAATAATCTCAATATGATTGATATATTAATAGAAAAAACGAATGACATTCTTGATAAAAGAATATAGCGCGACGTTGTCTCTTCTTTATTATATTAATAATATGTTTAAAAATCTATTTAAAGCATTCTCTTTTCATTCTCTTTTCTCTTTTTTTCTTGTCGAAGCAGACTTATCATTTTTCTGATTTTCTTAAAATATGGACTGACGAACATAAAACTTTTCCATCATCGTGATGGTACACGGAAAGAATACTTTTGCAAATCTAAAAATTTGGCTAGATACAGATCTGAAAATGATTTTGTTGAGCCATCAAAATTATTATATACAATGTTCAAATTGACTGTTAGAAGATCAAACATTTTTATAGTATTATCATCATATTTAAGCGTTCTACAAAATAATTTTGATGGGCCAACAAAATTATTTTCAGATCTGTATCTGGTCAAATTTTTAGATTTGCCAGCAAAAGTATTCTTTCCGTGTATATCTTCGTCGAAATGAAAGATTACGCGAGAAAATGACTGCCTCTCGCAACTGGCAAAATCCGAATTGATAAATCGGACGTTGGTTAAATATTCGACGAGCGGCCAGATGGAAAGAGCAAATCGTTAAATTGAACGTTGGCAAATTTCGGTTTAACTAAATGGCGGAAGAAGCGGTGATCTGACCATCGATCGTCGTAATTAAGCACCGTGGTAAATGCGCCTAATTTAGCGTAACGCGGCTTCCTTGATAAATCAGGCGTCAATAAGGTTTCTTAAACGTGCGTATTTCAAAGATGCAATCTCCGATCGATGCGAATTACAAGCGCGGATACAAATGAAGTTCGCAATGTCGCTAAAATACAGATGATGTAAATTTTTTAATTTTAAAATCGCATCGATGGAAGTTTAGTCAACCGCTTGAGATTGTTCGGGGTTGACACGATTCGTTTATCTGCTCAAATATGCATCAAGTTTTTATCTGAGAAGGCCTTCTATTATAAGGCGCAAACAAGAGCTTAAGGTGACAAACGCAGTACTGTAAAAGATGGAAGTCTATCGATTGCGCTACCCACGCAGTTGTAGAAGAAGTGTCGTCGTCCATTTATACCACTCCTTTAATATTTCTTGCATTAAATCTATCTGTACTATTCGCATATCTTTTTTTTCCAACGAGAAAAACAGCGCTTATAGAAATACAGTTTGGGAATTCATTGATTTTAGCAGAGATAATTTATCGTTCGAAATTGGTCCGTAATCAGGAAATGATAATTCGGTTTACGAGGAAAATAGTTGAATATACATCCGGGTGATTGGAAATAAAAAAAAAAAATAATATGTTTTATTCAGACGATAACGATCTGTCTCTTTTTCAAACATTCCACATATGCGCGACGATCGTCACGCGAGAAATTCCCCGATCGATCGATCGATCGCTCGCCCGGGATCGTTTTTCGATTGGTCGTCGGTCCCGATTAATTATTACAACGCCTTGCTGCCTTGTTCGGCAGAAATTTCGCGATGTTACGCGAGCTTTCGGAATCGGGTGTGGGATCGGATGTGATAGACGCCACCGCGCCGTGGGGATTCGCATAAATTACTAATTAGAATGCGAGAAACGAGTGCGGGCCACAGCCCGGGGATTCTTCCATGTCCCGCTTGCATGAGAATTTCGTGGCTGATCGGCTCGCATTAACTAACCATGCCGCGAGATAATCTAGACAGGATCGTTGATCTCTCTCTCTCTCTAATCTAAATCAGTTTGCAAATCGGTGCGGCATCGATCAACGGAGCAATTTACCGTCTGATTTAATCAGAGACGCGTTTGCATTATCGAACGTACCCCCCCTCCCCCCTCAACGTGTGTAGTAAAAACGAATGCGGTATATAAAAGGCATATAAAATTTATAGGGCAAAGAACTTACATTACATTACGGTATCGGTTCAGTGATACCGTTTCGCACAAAGTTCTGTCACGTCATTAAGATTGCAGGAGTCGAGGCCGCTCTCGCGTGTTATTAATGAGTCTAATCCCTCCTTCGAATCCGAGTCGCGATTATTACGCGTCGTTCTTTACACCGTTCAAGGTGCAGACGCGGAATGAGATTGTTCACGTCTCCCAGTAGAAACGCCGCGATATCGCCAGACCGCACTAACTTTTATATCGCACACCTCCCACGACACTTTTCGCCAACGCGACTCTCCAACTCCGTTTAATTGAATCTCCTCACTTTATCCAAGCCGAGAGAACGACGAACTGACCGAAATTTTAACGGGTTCGACGAGAATTAACCTGAACATGCATTATCGAATCGATGTTTTCGCGGCCTCATTTGCATTAGAAACTAATTTTATCTATCTTCTTTTCTAAGTTTCTACGTTTCTTAAAACGTATACTTACAAATGCGTATACTTAAAACACATGCATACGCTTATCGCGGTATCTGCAATTTTATTTGCGGTTTTACCAAGCCTCGCGATATCCTGCCGCGAATTTCGTCGAGCGGTGCCGAACCGATGGCGTCTAACTTCGTCGGTTATTTTTTTTTTTTTTTTTTTTTTTTTTTTTTTTTTTTACGACGTGTAAGTGCCGAGTGAGAATACATTCTGAATGTGCAAATCGGCTTCCCACGGCTAAACACGTTCGTTTGACACTGAAATCTCGCGTGCGTTTCGCAACCTTAGAACTAATAACATTCTTTATCGAGCATTCTTTGATATTCACGGAATGTATTTAGAAATTGTGCTTAAAATATCTATCGTGGTTTGAAAGGATGTTTTGTCCGCGTGATTTTTCCAAAAGAAAATTAGTAGGGGAATACCAATTTCAATTTTAACGATAAAGCTAACAACGCGCGCTCGCCAGCAAACATTTTTTGATATTCACGGATTGTATTTAGAAGTCAAAGTTGTATATCTGTCATGATTTGAAAGGATGTTTTGTCCGCGCGATTTTTCCAAGAGAAAATTATAGTAGTGGTGGAATACCAATTCCAATTTCAACGATAAAGCTAATAACACGCGCGCTCGCTAGCAAGTATTTCTTGATGTTCACGTCGATCGTATTTAGAAATCGTAAGATATCTGTCATGATTTGAAAAGGATGTTTTGTCCACGCGATTGTTCCAAGAGAAAATTAATAGTGAAATCAATCCCGATCTCTCGGCAAACGTTCCAGCGCGCGAATGCGCCACGCGCTTTATTTATTCAATCGTTTATTATACCAACCGGCTCGACTCGGCGGAAACTGGAGCACGATAAATGCGCCGATTAACCGCAGCTTCCTTAACCAGAATCACTTATCGCCCGTAGGCTTCTGCGTAGAGTCGGACGAATTAACGCTCTCATCTCGTCGTGGCGCGAATCAATTTTTCACCGCGGCCCGAACCCGCTCCGGTCGCTCGCGGCCGAAAGAAGGGCGCCCCGTTTCTGGAGCCGGTCTCTTCGGGGCATTAATCAGGCCACTCCGTCTCGCTCGCACTTGACCCAGTTGTCCCACGGGAGATTTCGCGGAATCGGACGGAACGGGCATCTCGATCGGCAACGCGCGTCTTAGCGGTGCCGTCCCATCGGAGTCACGCGACGGAGCTGGCAACGATAACAAACAACAACAATCACGATGACGACAAGAAACCGAAGACTGCGAAGCAACGACGCAATCACGACTGACTCGACGCTGAAACGTTTCCTCCGGTTTCCTCCTACTCGCGTGGCCGTTTCTGTAACGTGCCCCACCACGCAGATCGGAGGGCCGATCGTCGTAAGAGAGACAGAGAGGGAGGGAGGGGGGAGAGAGAGAGAGAGAGAGAGAGAGAGAGAGAAGAAAGAGAGTAG